TGCCTATTTGCAGCTTAGCAAACGAAGAGGGCGGTTCTTGATGACTGTAGGTTGCTTGTAAATTTTGGGGATCATTTGAAGAACAGACTGCATTGTAGAACATAAGAGCGTGTGTGGTAAGAAATCCCAATGAGCATCCACATCATTTGTACATTGTTGTACATTGTCCTGTAAAGCTGATACATTCAACCGTTTGAAATTCCAGCGCCAGTTCTTGTTGTTGGGATGTCTGCTCAGTTTTGCTGATAAAACTAAACGCTACGATAGCGTCATCGCTTCTCCCCAGGAGAGCCAGGATTGAGAGTATCAAATAGGAATTATTCGTTCGTAAATACCCAGTCCAAGCGTTACGGCGTCTGACTGTTTCTCCACTGAGTGGCCAACTTCACATTTTTGACTAATCCCAGCTCCTCAATGAGGTTGAAGAACCGAACTTCAGTAGAGTTTTACCCCCAATATACGTATGCTCCGCGAGATTGACTTCAGGAATATTGAGGTCCCCTAGAATCAGAATATGAGTGTATAAATCACTAACGTCCATGATCTATATCGAATGATTGGAGGCCTAATGGATTTAGACGGTAATGGTGTGACGAACCAGCTGACGTCGAAGTCATACCTCGTAGTCCACACCTCACATGGACTACCGCATCGATGTATCAAGGTAATACAGATGCTTTGAAGACTGTACAACACAAAGGATGTTATTACAGAAATATATTTATCAGAGTAGACACAAGCGAAATTAAGGACTCCGCCGCATGGCCCAGTCCGTGGCGTACGATTAATTGATATGCTTTGGCCGTCATTGACCTTTACAGGGATAGGTGATTGGCTCGATATTCAGTGACCTAACTGCCGGAAGGTTTGGCTAGGGCTCAGTGACATGTCGCTAGCCCTACAATACCCCCTACCAGATTCAACGGCCGCTTAAATCGGTACCAAACATGTTCGGAATGGTCGCGCGCCCGAGACTGCCAAACGATTAATGCGAATCCTTCGGGTATTGTTGAGCTGTAGGACAAATGGAAAGAAGGTGGCAGAAACTGATCAGGAAAACAGCGAGTAATAATATGTTAGTAGGACGTTGGTTAAATATAAAGCGATTATTCATAGAAATAATAGAAAAACAACGTTTTGAAGTTTTGTCAAGTCACGCTGAAATTGGTACCTCTGACAAGTGATTGCGTTCCTCAGGTGAGAAACGTTACGTTTATCGCAAGAGTAATGATGATATAGTGATAGTACGATAAGTGTATTATCAGTTGATGGCGATGTTTGTGCTGCGGTTGTTTTAAAGTTGAAATTCAAACAATGTCGTTGACAGCTTCTATTCGTTAGTGTCGAATCCTAGTTGTATCTATATTTAACAGACTAACAGTAAGTACAAACGTATAACCGTAAAGAGAAGTCTTGATTTCGTTGTGCGAAGCTATTTATCAACTTGTAGTTAGAGTTTGAAAAGGCGATGACTGCTGTTACAGTCAGTAAAGGTTGAAGTCTACAGATCGAGAGCGATTGTGGCACGATGAAGTCTCTAAAAGATGATAAGCGGTGAGTGCTGCGTGCTTGTTCGATAAGTGAACCGAAAATATCGAAAGAACATAAGAAACCAAGAGTGTCACTCTGGACTCATGTCAATGATACCAATGAAAAACGCTGTCAGTGTTGGGATAGAGGCAACAGTGTCGTTTTCAGTTTGCAGGAGTTTCGCTCGACCACATAAACTTTCAACTCGCGCGAATGATAATGTCGTCAGACCACCAAATGGACTGAACAGGTTGTAAACCGTTCAGTGGTTGAACAGCCAATCGATGTACCAAAATAATCTGTTAGATAACAGCCACGAGGAAACAATACTTCATGAAACAAAGTACGGCGTCACAGTTAAATAACTACAATAGTTCGGATGTGCTACAACGTCAAATGGAAACAAATCGTTCTTACGAATTCTGACAGTTTCACTGAACGTTCGTTTATGTATTGTTAGCGTAACAGTTGGATGTGTGAATAAAAACATAAGCGAAGACCATGTTGTGGTTTGTGGAGAATTTCAGAGGACGTTTAGATATTTTCCAAACCCGTATTTTATATAAATAAACCGAAAATGGAATCAAAATGACTGTCGTGCAATGAGGAAATCGAGCCATGATTTACCGTGTGAAGTAATAGCAAATACAAAGAGTATAGTAAGCATTAATTAAAGTGGTAACCACCAATATAACTAAAATGTAGAAGGTTCAGGTAATGTGGCCATTTCGTAAAAAGCTGATGCAAAGAGCTTAGCACCTAGCGTTAAGTGACATATTACGTATGTAGGACAAGGACTAAGATTGCTCGTGTATATGTAATATGTCTTACCATAGTATATTGACTTACGAGTCATAAATGTACATGATTTCGACAATGACAGAATATATGACTACTTTACTTGAAAGCAACTACGAAGTGTTATTACGGATCATAAATGTAGTACGAAATGACCTACTGAAATTATGGAACTCGCCTGTGTCAATCTCGTTTACAAGCAATGAGAATTTGAAGTAGACAGTAGTTCGAAACTGATTTGTATACTAGGTACTGTTTATTGAATTCTTGGAGTTGAAGATGCCACAAGTATTCGGAGTTTGACAACGCTTTGACCAGTAACACCTAATATGAAGCGTACCCACCAAGTGAAATCAAAAGACAGAAGCGAGGAGGTTCGAAAATATATTTGATAGGCTATCAATATATCGAAGATAGTCTGATCTAATCTGGCTAGCGATTGCAATACATGTTGAGCACGGCGTTCCCACTCGTGATCCGGTGAGGATGCATGACCGAGCGCCTTCAGCTAGGTGAATCCATTAAAACTAATGTGATCAGCATCCAATATCGAAAACTTACAAAGCAATTTATTTTGGGGATTTATTTACCGCTACAGATGAAAATAGCGTAGTAGACGAAATTTGTGTAAGTCCAAAATGAATTGAAGCCAAATACGTAGCACTGCCTGGTGAACAGTCTAAACGAGACTTAGGATTGCAGGGCATTCACAGTTCAAACTCACTGTAAATTTCTAGCATACGTATTCTCTGTTTGTCCATGGAACCCAGCTCTACAAGTGAATTCGAGATGAGTAGAGCGGGATAATCCTTCCAGCATACGATTGGTGTACTCGATGTCAGCAGTGGGCATCCCATCTCATGACAAGGATACGGAATCACTGATAGTGACTGGAGCGACTTACAGCAAACAGAGGACTCGTTGTAGAAAGCTGAATTGTAGATCACTAGCTTGAGAATCTATGTTGAATGATTGCTGTTTAATCGCTTTGGACGGGAATGGTGTAACCTATCAGCTTAGCCGAAGTCACTCCAATTGGTTTGTGCTTAACAAGGATTGTTCTGTATATCAATCAGTAGAATTGCATGCCCGAGATACTGGCTACAAAAATACTCTCAATGGGCAAAAGCATATATTAACATTAACAAGTTGCAGAAGTACAAGTCAGAACAACTATACCATGATCAATAATCATCCTTAGCATCATGATAGCAACGAAAATTAAGCGATTAATTTATATTATCATCCCTTACAGATGTTCGGCATCAGGTTTAGAACCTGCAACCGCGTTTTTTGAATAATGCGCTTCTGTTTTCTGAGGTTCTTCAGTCCCAGTAGATGTGGTAGTTTCAGTAGCGTTAGCTTTACTGGAAAGCCTCATTTACTTATGACGTGGAGAAAACTAAATTCTGAAAGCGATCGTTCCGTGGTGGGAACCAACAATCAATACTTAGTTTACGAAAGCCCGCACCGTAGACTTGTCTTAGGCGCTAAGACATTTTCAGTGCTTTCCAGTTCTATCGTTCTCTTTTCACAACCTATTTTGTTTTTTCAAATCCCTGATCCGAAGGTATTTTGTTTCGCTCTTGTTAGTGGCCTGTTGTTCTCCCTTTCTACTCCGCTCTTGCTTCATCTTTTGACTTCTAGTCATGTTACAGAATTATATTATGACAAGGAAAGCAAAACGTTTACTGCTTGTCTAAAAGGAATACTTCTCAATACCAAGAAATTGGAATTCACTGCTGAAGATGTCAAATACATCGAGCCGACCATCACAATGGCAAGCATTATGGCCAAAGGTGTACCGTTATTTGTTTCAGAAGATCACTTCAAAGATATTGAAGTGTATAAACAATTAGTGCGATTTAATGAGCCAGTGGATGTAAAAAAATTCTGAATAAATGCTTGGCATCAATAATTCACGTTTTGGTCTTTTATTAGATTTATTATTTCTCTCTGGTTGATTTCCTTTCCTATATATTTAGGGATCGAAATGTCGTCCAGATGAAACTAACATTATCATTGGTTAGGACTTCTGTACTCAGTCTTCTTCAGATACTTCATGAATTAAGTTGTATTCAGAGTCTAGAGACACAAGAATACCTAGTTTCTGCAAAATGACCTTTGGTGTCTATCCTGATGTATCACTCACCAGGGAAGTAAATCAAATAAGAAGCATTTGTTAAACGAATAAATATAGGTACTTGCTGCATAAAAACTTGCAGATGATTTAAAATCTTGAGATTAGTTCAGATTAGTTTTCCGATTAGTCTCACCATTGGTCCTGGATGTATTGTTGCTAATGTTTTTTGCATTCCCAGCTCGACAACTACATTATGTCCATATTTCGGCTGACAGGTTTCTAACAGTTTCATAACATAAGTGTTCGGTGTTCAAACGAACTATAAGTTGCATTATCACTGCATATAGGTTGCGATGATAGCTTTCTACTTTCTTTTTTCTGTTCTGCATTTATACATAATTTAGACATTTAGCTCATGTTTCTCATTGCACGTACATATGTTAATACCGGAGATATATCTTCCCATAAAATATGCATACATATACGTCAAAGGATCACATATTTGTTACCATGTTAGCCGAATCTGTCTTTATTTGAAGTTTTTAAACCTTTATTTTTCCTTAGCGCCCATGTTGGACTATTCTTTCTTATGGGACTGTGTGCAACCATGACTACAGGATTATTGTTTCGTCGCCGCCAATTAGTTTCACAGATTTTCACTCGGTTCAATTATAGTAATTCATTTGGCTCTACAAGTTCGAAGAAAAGAGCTCCTGGACATACGGTAAGAAGTCTCCTCTTATTAGACAAATCATTGTGATAAGTTATCAGATAAAGTCATTCAGTGGGGTAACTACCTGTCCCAACTTGTAAGATCTAGATTTTTTCAATTTATTTATGCTCAAACGTTTGAAAGTCAGGTTAGCTCCAGGAAACGAAGCTAATTTTTGCTCGAAGATATTTCTTAACCTGTAGCCCCTGTGACAAGGATGTTTCTCTTTCTTTTTCCTATGAAGTTAATCCATAAATGAATTGTGATCCTGTGACTTTCAATTTCGTGTTTTCATATACGGAAATAAGATCAGTTGGCATAAATGTTTTCAGAAATTTTCAACATTAGTGGACCACAATATGGGTTTTTTAAAATTTTTAACCAAGCTCAAACTTTTCAAACGTAATCGACAGTGAGTTTTACGGCTCTGAGAGTTTAAGAGTATGTTTACAGTCAGTCACGATGTAGCAGCTGGTGCGTGCGTAGATCGGTTAAGTTTGTCATTCCCTATTTTCACAGAGGGATGAAATTGTCAGGTCAAATCGCATAATAGTAGGAGCAGTAACGGTATCATTGGTGGCTGAAAAGACCAAGCATCGAAAATACGATTCAACAGTATATAAATTAATTAAATAAAAACAGAAAGGTTATGAAGGATTCAGAAGCTCAGGATTTGGAGAAAGACGGAGAATGGAGTCACTTGCTCCATTACAGACGATTTTACGATAAAAAGTGTTCATGTTTTTCCTTCACATACATCAAAATCTGCTATGTTGACTTACTAATGAGAATTCCCTCCCCTATACTCACTAAAGAACTTGCTTTCTGTGGTCCCACATCCAAAGAAATTTAGTTTAAAATTAGTGGGGCTAGAAGCACGTAATGTTTTAAGAGATACCATCTAAATTATGATGAGTCTCAATGTGACGTTTCAGTGCTAATCATTAGTAACTGACAGTTTTAGACCTTTAGATTTGAAAATTCAAGTGGTTTATGGGATTGAAGAAAAACATCGGCTAACAAATAACTTCAGCACGTAAACCTGGGAAATCTATAAGCAGTCCAATTGATTTGTAGCTACTTCATTATTGCTTTGAAGCCTACCATAACCTGATAGAGACGTAGACAATTACCTACCTTCCAGTTTTGATGAAATTGACAACATTGTGACAAACCTGAAACAAGACGAAGTAGCGAAACTTAGTCGTTTATTTCCAGGTGTTTTCAACGGTAGCATTCAGAAGTAACTGGTCAGAATAAATTTTTAGTTATACCAAACGAATTATAAATGATTTCTTCAAAGCGGCCAATCGTTTATCATTCTGGTGTCTTAATAATTAGAATCCTCTTGCGATTATCACTGAAGTCGGTTTGTGAAACACTGTCTCCAAAACCCACTTGATACCCAACGTAAATTGAGTAGCAAAAATCCCGGAAAACTTGCAGTAATGCATGCAAAAAATTTAAATTGTCATAATGTTTTGCAACTTTGAAAAATTTACTGCTAACCTATGCTTACGATTTTGATTTACTTAGAAAGTAATACTTGACACCATCGACTTAAGATTTTATTAATGCCTCTGACTTGAAATTTCCTTCTACGAACATGTAATGTTAATAGGTTGTCCTAATTCGGGATGAATACGTGTTTTGGTACTAGTTAGAGATTCTTGGATAAACATGTAGTATGACTAGATCAATAGGAAATCTCTTTATGCATATAATCGGGACTCACTGGTTGCATGGTAGATAATTAGGACCATTTTTCGCAGGTTTGAGCAAATCAAAGTTTAGTATAAGCTTGCACTAATTGTCACCACAGTCATCACCGATTCCCTTCTTAACATCTTCACTCTCCCAACCAAACTTTGACTTAGATAGATAATATTCTAGTCAGTTTTAGACGCATACATGATTACTAGTCTATGCATAGTACTTGTCTGAATTCTGATCATTCTCTCTGTAATATGTGAAACTTACATAGTTGACAGATTTATCATTCTAAAGAAATTACCGTGATTGGAATTGGTTTCATTTGACATGACACCAAATTGGACTAAATTTGATGTTAGATGTTCAAGCTACAAAACGTTTAGTTGTCATGGAAGTGATGGTTAACGCCTTTAGTAGCTTCAAAAAATGTCCAATATGGTGCTTATCGTTTGCCTTACGTCCCTTACTTAAAAATATCACAAAGCTTGCATGGAAACCTAGAAGGGTGAAGGTTTTGGTGGGGTGCCCAGATGAGAGTTGCGTCTTTATATGGCGGCTGTCAGGATATATACCATTTAATTTCAGTAATCTTGATTATATTGGTAGCTATCGATTGCCTGGTTGTGGTCAGTTGTATTATCAGGCTTAATCGTTGGAGACGTTGAGTGTCTCTAAATGGCTCAAAAATGATGTTGATTACGCAAATATATTCACTCTTTATCTCCTAAATCTCGATTTTCAGAATTATTATGCGGATTTCTCACTATCACTGCTACTTTTATTACTTTGTCTTAGTAATTTCATCTACATGCGATTATGTTACGTGACACTTAAGCCGATGCACATATTTCCCAGGCTCTAGGTTGCTTATTACTGACTGGTTGTATTTATAATGTATTTTTACTACTGTACAATTTATAGCTCCAACCTTTTGTATGCAGTAAACGAGTTGTTGTGAAAGCAGGTAATGGCGGCAATGGTTGTATTGCGTTCCGACGTGCCTTTTGTAATCCACACAGTGGTCCTAGTGGTGGAGACGGTGGAAACGGTGCTCATGTAATTTTCAAAGGTGAGGAATCAATATATTGCCTTTCTTATTTAAACCTGTTACCCTTTTCGGGGCTTAGGGCGTCAACCAAGAGTCGCCAACCAACTCTATTGTGGCTCTCTTTTCTAGTTATTAAGTACTATTTATTCTTCTTGATGCCTGCCTCTTCTTTTGCTTTGAGGATTCCAAGTTAGGGCTTGATTTGTGATGCAATTTGATGATGTTCACAATAAATATCCTATCCACCTCCTGCGTCTTTCCATAATTTTCTCCTCAGCTGGAAGCTGGTTTATTCTCTGTCACAACAGATTATTGCTTATAGTTCCAATGGATCCGGAGTATTTTGCGCGAACATCTGTTGATGCTTCCAATAGTTCTTCAAGTCTCATCACTGTACAATAGAGTTGTAGTGGCTGGTCGTATGTCGAGCCCACATAGCTAGAATAAGTTTTACAAACCGACAATCTACCGAAGAGAAAAACAGATGACCGATTGAGGCGTTGGGATTCACTATATTGTTGTATCTATAAATTTGGTAGACTGTTTGTTAACAAATTAAACGTTGAATCATCAAATGTATATGACTGTACCTCTACATTATGACTGGAATATGATCATTAAGAAGTTAGAAGATAAGACGAATATTGGCAAAATAATGACTGGGTTACTCCCAGGGTTGGACGTGGGGGATTAAGTAAAAGAATAATCAATTGAATGAGGTTATCAGCCTCTGTAGATAATATTTGTGAACCTGAATTAACTAATATTAAGTCGTCAGATAAAATAACCTAAGTTTATCATTTCATGTTATGTGAATGGCACGGTTTTACTAGGCGGAATTACGTCACCATACTGAGTGTAGGGTTTAGTAATTTCTTTCTTAAAGTGAGATTCGTCACAGTTTCCACCCACATACTTCTCACCCATTTAGATGAAGACAATTGTGTTTATCTTACGATTTTATCGTTTTTCGATGGCATAACATTAGAGAAATAATCAATTTCAAATAGGTTTCCTTAAATAACCGAAACCCTTCAAATCTTAAGTTAATTGACATCGTCTTCTACTAGGTTGGCGGAAGTTTTGAATTACAGTTTATGTTATTAATGTCATAGGATAGGAAACCCTAATAATGGTGTTAATAAGTGATTAGTGTCACATGTTATGCATAGACTTATTATGATCTAATCATTAAATACATAAAAATATGCCCAATTTTCCGTTTATTTTGACATCTTTCGTTTGTTACTATGTGCTCATCATACGAATGCCATAAATAAGAACTTGATAATTCTTGTGACCATTATTTTGTTTGAATGTTAGCAATAACAATAATCCTCATTGTACTGAAATATTGTATACTGAAAATTTCGTATTATTATTATTATTATTATTATTATTATTATTATTATTATTATTATTATTATTATTAATGTCCAATTAATTGACATTTGATTGTGGAAATTTTTTTCCCAATTTATCATCCATTCCTCATTGGAATGAATAGTGAGATGAAGCTCTCTGTATGTGTTTATATATGTATTCATTTAACATTCAATAAACTAATATATGAATTTATACAGATTCTTTAAAACAAATGATTCAGTATTATTTATAATTATCTACAGAATATTCGTGCAAGTCGATTCTTATTTTAATCTTATTTTTTTAGCTGATAAAAATATATCTGATTTATCAAATATACCCACAGTTGTACAAGGTGATAATGGTGTGAACGGTTCAATTGATGATTGTCATGGGGGAAATGCTGATCATTTATATCTACAGGTAATTATGTACGCGTATCAATCCACTTTTTAATGATATTATTCTGTTATTATTAATGTAAAAATAATTATTCCTTCCAATCAATTCAAACAGTGTATAATAAGAATGTGAAGTTTACTAGGAGGAGTATATGATGTGAATTTTAGCAAAATATATTAGTAATAATAGTGTGATCACATATTAACTTATTGAGATATTTACAGATGTAGTCCCACAAATATATATTTATAATGAGGTTAAAGGGTTCGATTTTCATCTGCTAGTTTAAAGATCACTACACCTACTTCAGTGTAACACCAGGGTATTATCACCACTCTGTATGTAGAATGTAACTCTAAGTCAAGTACAAGGATCCGCACCTGATAAGTGAGCTAAATTAATGAAATTAAAAAAAGTGATGAATTTCATCTTTTTAAAAGTTATCAACTGTACTATTTTAAAAATGTGTAAAACTGAACAACTGCATTATCCTCCTTATGTTCCACAATATCTTTCTCCCCTAGAAAAATATACAGATAAACAATTTGCTTGTTTAGGTAAATCTTCGCTAAAGCTAATTATTTTGTGAAATTTATTGTCTTTTTTAACTGTTTCATATAGTTTAAATGGGTTTTTTATATCGTTGTTCATTCATCAGGTTCCGATAGGTACACAAATTTTTTCTGTTCATAAAAATTCTGTTGAAAGTCCAAATCAAATATCAAATGATGATGATGATAATAATAATAATCAATCTATTAACCTAGTTAAAACGTTAAACGCAGATGGTGATATATTTCTAGCTGCACGTGGTGGTGCTGGTGGTAAAGGCAATACATTTATGACACATGCAACATTAGCGACAGATTCATTAAAGTTACCTAGTCGTAAAAATGCTCCATTACGTATTGCTGAATATGGTGGTAAAGGTCAGTTGTGTGAATTCATTCTACGAATGTCAAAACTAGCAGATTTAGGCTTTGTAGGGTGTCCTAATGCAGGAAAATCTACATTATTAAGAAGTTTAACAAGAGCTAGACCTAAAGTTGCACCATATCCATTTACTACCCTACAACCACATATTGGAATGTTACATTTTCCAGAAAATTATAATCTCACTTTAACTGATTCAGTAGATGATAATGATAATCTCGATATATCAAATCGAACTCATTCTATAGCTAGTAAGTTGTACATATTTATTTTTTTATGCGATTTATAACGTTTTCTGTTTCCGATTTTTGTTTTCAATAATGTTTGTAGTGTGACTAAAATTAATAAGAACAAACCAGTTATAATTGAAATGGCTTTCATTTTCTCTTTAGGTGGACTCTAAGATAAGTGTGTTTCAACCCATTCGTATTGGCTGTTTGAGTCTCCCCTATTGTAGTGAACAGAACACGGGTGGGGAACAATCGAATGTATTTAACACAACAATTACAGACTCTCAATAAAATCTGAATACCATATAGTAAATTGTCAATTTGCAAAATATTCATGCATCAAACCAAACTGGACTGTTTCTGTTGCAAACACCAATCCATTGTCTCCCATTCCATTGTTCATGCGTTTTCTTACAAATTCCATTGTGTTCTCGCTCTTCCTTTCTTGATCTTCCCCATTTTCTGCTACCAGACATCACGTTCTTTTAACTCACGTTATATACTACTCATATCAATATAAGTAGCACACACCACACTCGTCCCCCGTTTAAAGCAGTCGTTCTTGCGGTGGTTCATGCTCGCCGTGCAACATTCTCCGTCTCTGCAGTCTGTGCCACGCTCTCCGTCAAAATGTCGAGTCTGCGGCGCGCTGACTTCCATAGCTCCGTCGACCTGTCGGGGCAACAACAACCGACATCCACCCGGCACCTGGGACGCTTGACACCCGTACTCCACCGGCCTGCTGAGCCATCTACATCCGATGTCCGCCCAGCAGCCGCGCGTCCTACCACTCCTCTCCGTCGACAGCACCCGCTACAGCCAACGCCGCCCCGCCAGAACACTCCACCAGACGCCACTCCTCCTCACCAGACTGCCCCAACTGGCACCTCAGCTCCAGGCCCGCAACGGCGTCCGCAGAACACACCCTCCTCCTCTCCTGGTTGGCAGCGACACCAAATGTTTGCAACAGAAACAGTCCAGTTTGGTTTGATGCATGGATATTTTGCAAATTGACAATTTACAATATGGTATTCAGATTTTATTGAGATAGTCTGTAATTGTTGTGTTAAATACATTCGATTGTCCCCACCCGTGTTCTTGTTCACTACATTTGGTGTCGCTGCCAACCAGGAGAGGAGGAGGGTGTGTTCTGCGGACGCCGTTGCGGGCCTGGAGCTGAGGTGCCAGTTGGGGCAGTCTGGTGAGGAGGAGTGGCGTCTGGTGGAGTGTTCTGGCGGGGCGGCGTTGGCTGTAGCGGGTGCTGTCGACGGAGAGGAGTGGTAGGACGCGCGGCTGCTGGGCGGACATCGGATGTAGATGGCTCAGCAGGCCGGTGGAGTACGGGTGTCAAGCGTCCCAGGTGCCGGGTGGATGTCGGTTGTTGTTGCCCCGACAGGTCGACGGAGCTATGGAAGTCAGCGCGCCGCAGACTCGACATTTTGACGGAGAGCGTGGCACAGACTGCAGAGACGGAGAATGTTGCACGGCGAGCATGAACCACCGCAAGAACGACTGCTTTAAACGGGGGACGAGTGTGGTGTGTGCTACTTATATTGATATGAGTAGTATATAACGTGAGTTAAAAGAACGTGATGTCTGGTAGCAGAAAATGGGGAAGATCAAGAAAGGAAGAGCGAGAACACAATGGAATTTGTAAGAAAACGCATGAACAATGGAATGGGAGACAATGGATTGGTGTTTGCAACAGAAACAGTCCAGTTTGGTTTGATGCATGAATATTTTGCAAATTGACAATTTACTATATGGTATTCAGATTTTATTGAGAGTCTGTAATTGTTGTGTTAAATACATTCGATTGTCCCCCCCCGTGTTCTGTTCACTAAACTATGATATTAGAGTCCCAGAGTGAACAATTACTCCGGGATGCAAGTAAATCTACCTGATAAGTCCTAAATAGGGCGAAACACCCGTTCTATATCCCACTGCTAGCCACTACCCATCTCTGCTTATGGTGCTTGTGACTTAAAACACTATCAATGCAATCCTCACTTGATGTACATATGACAATAAGAGATCGATCAATTACAGTCCTAAACGTCAATCGGAAGATTCAAACAATCAATACAAAAATGAATTAAACTTCACCCTATTGCACAAACTAGCGGCTATCGGGACTCAGTAGCTAAGTAGATAACGTGATGGCGTTTGAGGCGGATGGTACAGGGTTCGAGACAATAAAGAGTGTGATTCGAAAAGGAGAAACTAATTCACAGGGTGAAACATGTTAAATTATTTTGAAACACATGATTTAAATAAAAAGCGGATACGTCTGCGTTATGACTAATTCTGAACCACATCCAACTTCGCGAACCATTGATCATGTTAGTAACACGAACCTTAACGAAGTTGTTCATACCTACTGAAACAGCTCTAACCAGAAGTCTGTGACTTGGTGTGCTCATGCTACTTTTTTTAGGGTGCAACATAGCTTTTTTCCAACTTGATTTCATGCTAGGTAACATTAGCTGAACTGTTGAATTACTATCGTTAATACTGATCTGCTGTTTCATTTTGGTTTACAAATACTACCAAACAATATGCACCAACGATCATACGCAAAATCAAATTCAGGACGTTTAGGTCTCACAGCGAGTGCAATACCACTTGATTGTGCAAGTCAGCGTTCAACGCCCAATTATTTCAATTTCAATCTAGCCTTAGATTACTCCAAAGACCACAGCTAGCTAATTGGACTTCAGGAAATCCGTCTTAGAATTATCCCTTAGTAAAGCATACTATGTTGTCCGTTTAGCTAGTTCAAGAGAGATTTTCCCTGTGCATTATAAATTAGATTTTCATTTCTTAACGATATGCCAGTTCCAACTGATATTCTACTCTATTTATTTGATTCTTACGAATAATTAGATTACTAATATGTTGATTTCTAATTCTAATTTTCAGTTGCTGATCTTCCAGGTCTTATTCATGGTGCTGCTGAATATAATAAAGGTTTAGGAATCGAATTTTTAAGTCTTGTCGCTGATTGTTCCATACTAGTTTATGTCATTGATTATGGAACATTATGGTGTGATCATAGTGTAAATCAGTTGGATGAAATAGAAACTGAACTAATTGATCAATTATCTATGCTTTATTATGAAGTGACCACTTATGATAGAAATCTTTGCAATCACGATAAGTGTTTTATATTAGGCAGTAAATTAGATTTAATTTTTCCAAATAAAATAGATTCGAGTGAATCGAATGTTGATAATACAGATGGAAATGCCATACTTTTTAGAAAATTACACCATATATTGCATAAAGCTGCTTGTTCGGTTTCTATGATTAAGGATACACCGGAAAGTATAGACCAAGTAATGCTCGTTTCAGCCAAACGGGGTGATAATATTCTTCACTTGGCGTATAAACTTTGGAATTGTGTACAGAATATGAAAGATAAAAAGAACTAATTTACTTCTCTGTATAGTTGTATATTCTTACAAACATATTTTTTGTATGAAACGATGCTTATTCGATCTTTCCTACGCAAATACTAGTGTATAAAAATGACTGTGAATCCTAATTAAATGAGATTTATACTCATGTTTTGTATTTTATTAACTATTGATAATTGAAAATGCCCTGGAGTGCTCTCACTATGTAAATTCTGAGGATCGTGGGTTCATTCAGGTTATACTAATGTCTGACCGAACTATCCTGAAGTATTTAGTAGGTGTACAATTATTATGTTGTTCGTCGAATCTATATCGAGATAAGCGACCATTAGTACACAATATTCTCGATTTAACCTAACTCATAGCAGCTGGTTCCTCGCTATTTGACTGCAATAAATGATGCCCCATTAACTGGGTATTGTAAGCAAGCCAATTCTCTTAGTGGTACTGTAAATTTACTCGAGAATATTCAGAAGCCAGTACATCATTTGTATGGATTGTTTATTGTTAAGTATTTGTAAAATCCTGTAAGCACAGGGAAAAATGGGTGTGTGTGAGTGTTAAAAAATCCATATTTATTTATGAGTGCTAGTCGGTTGTGGGTAAATTTTTATCTGTGTTTGCAACCAATGAGAGGACAGATGAAGATTGACGTACATAATTGTGTTCAGTTAGGCCCACACATAATTTTACATACCGGGTCGAGCGTCCAAATTGCGGCAAGTAAACAAATAATGAAGGACTACTCATTAGGCTTATTTTATTCACATATAATTCTCATCCTCTAAAAATGTTTCTCGGACTTTCAGAACCACCTTATTACACATCATTGATGTGTCCAATACCTTCTAGCCCCCTCATGATGGCGCATCGGTTGGTGTGCTTTTGATGTATAACTTACGAGCAGTTGACGTGAGACCTACCACCACTATTAGTAGAGGTATTTTTCAATTAAATGGGTGTTACAATATGGGGACAAATGCCAATTAGAAACAATAACTTACTCATATACCACCTTATGCTTATCTCCGTATGCGAACGGAGGTTAAAAGTTGGGTGTTACGTATTGTTCTAGTTTGTGTACGGTTGTGAGCAAGCATATGGTTTGCCCATACTTCCAACCAATATTAGATAGGTGTTCATAACCAAGCTAGAATTATAATGTGTAATCGCAAGTGCTGCACATTTGAGTACAGCCCAATTTTTCGAAGCCACACAGGCTTGCTCCCGACTCGCAGAGGGCATCAAGTAACTAGTTTAATTATTTGCTCCAGATAGGGTTTGACTTGGCGCTCAGTTAGCTCTGGAGTCTCACTGAGTACGTTAGCGAAATAATAGCAGTATCAGTACGTTCCTCCCTAAATGAAGTGCAATACATACACCCTTACATTTCATAAACTAGATGACAGGATTTTGACTTCGTGTATACATATGTCAGTAACTGTAATTACAAGTGGTGGGGCTGCGGACCCGCGGCATATGAACCTAACAACTCATGCGGTTCTGGAGGAACGGGGCTGTAAGAAAGCACACTTACTCCTTTTTCCCTTCGTGAAGGAATATAGACCGCCCACCAGCATCCTCTATCCAATTGCCACTCATCCTTTTGGTATCTACTGACAGCGCAGTGTGCTCTATTGTCTTTTCTGCATTTCCCTTCAGGATCACAAGTTAGCGTTTGCCTCGTGATGCAGTTAAGTAACTTCTGCAAAGTCTGTCCTATCCACTTCCAACATCTTTTCCTGATTTCCTTTTCAGGTGGAAGATGGTTTGTTTTCTCCCACAGTAGGCTGCTGCCCATAGTATCCAGTCAACGGACATTGAGTATCTTGCGTAGACAAATCGTACTGAAACTATAAGGAGTAAAAGGAAATTTTTTACATGAACTAGAGCGTATAGTTAAACTTATTCAATAATGTAACAATATAATCTCGTTTTGCGAGTGCATGTACGCTTTTATATTTCGTTAAGAAACCAAAGTAACAACTTGAATGAGTAGGTTGAAATTCTAGTTAATGCTTCTAAGAATTGCATACACGGAGGGAGGGCCTGCTTACCACGACGAACCTGCTTGTTCTTAGCTGCTAAAACTGTATGCTATATCTTTCGTTTTGTCTTTAGCGAGTTCAAAAAGAAGAACAAGATACGTTATGTCTAACATCACGTCTTGGGGTTCTATATATTATAATTGAACAGCCTATTAATCGACAACAAAGTGTTGGTATGAAGCACAACTGCTCGTGTTTATCTCTTTGCAGTCGCAACAGCTAAAGTTAGCTGGTTAAGAGTTTACTGACTCCTAGATGGCTTCATGAATATAGCTGCCTCACTATAATACGGATATGAACATCAAGCCAATCAAATGGTTATTCTTTAAAACTCTGATTACGCTTCCGAATGGGTTTTGCAGGAATTTTGAGAAATTTCAATAGTTGAAATCATGAGTCAATTGAAGCCAGACCACCATGGAAAACCTGGAAGCACTTGACGGCCGTTTCGTCCTAGTATGGGACTGCTCAGCAGTGCACATCCACGATCCCGCCTCCCGAGACATTCGAACCCAGGACCTACTGGTTTCGCGCGTGAGCACTTAACCATTAGACCACTGGGTCGGTATCTAACTTCAACCAATCCACGAAGTTGCGCCACCGTACACCATTGTCTTCAGTGAGTTGATATCTCACAACAGACCTGGCTGAACTCCACTGCTCACGACTTCTCACTAGAACTCCAGAAGTGTGCGTTGCGGGATCGTGGGCGCGCACTGCTGAGCAGTCCCATACTAGGACGAAACGGCCGTCCAGTGCTTCCAGGTTTTCCATGGTGGTCTGGCTTCAATTGACTCATGATTTCAACCAGTATTTTTAGTTTTTCTCATTTTGTTTTGATTATTCCTAGTCAGAGGTTGGTCCCTGTATCTGCAGTTATGAAACACGTCATAAAATGGGCAGTGATTTAGTACTTTTTGTGTTTACCTTTAATTTTCGTACTTATTACATCGGAATGCATTCTTGGTCCGCTTTAACTTGAGATATTTCGGTTAGGGTTCGAAATTTTGTGATGCCTTCTTTCTCATTGACTCTGAAATTTGTGCTCATATTGTGTTTTAACCATTCTTAATCTGATTACAATGGTTCACAGTACTTACAAATGAGGGCACCCAAATTTTCATACCCCATGAAGGAAGGGTGCAATGTGATGAGTCTTAAAATTGGTTTCATAAGATGTGGACCCATCTAAATCCCATCGAATAGAAAGATGCTCTGAGCCTAACTCACATTGACTCTGCATGTTTTGCTGTACGCATAAGACACTATTGATTCAAGAGGCTATGAGCCACTTATCTTCGGCCTGCAACGAGGAAGATGGTGATTGCGTTGGTAACACGAGTACTGACAGTGCAGAATGTGTCAGCGTAGTACGTGCTGCTACGTGACGAGATAAACAGCCGACCATGATTGACAGAAAAGGGAAATCTCCGTTGAAACTGAAGAGGAGTGAAGTGCCACCTGATATTGACATGAGTAGAAATTAAAGACCCGGATAAATCCGACACCGTTCCAGATAATCCAGGTGTGGTTGTCCTGAGTCATGGAAAATGGATGGCAATACGAATAAAAAGAAGTGAAAATTTTTTATAAACGACACACACTTGGTTGGCATGTCATTAGTGAACTATCATTCTGAGTCACACAATACACTACCAAAGACTGTTAATAAGATAGGACTCCATCCAGGAGTGGCTGAGAAGTGTTTAATCTCGTCGAATGTCATTGTGAGTAATTTGCAAGAATCAAATTATTATGATCCCTAAACCGGGGGATTTATCCGTAGTATCTTACCAGATGAAACTGAAGGAGTTTAATTCGAAAAATCTATACGAGTAGGTAAGAGGACCGACGAAAAAGTTAAACTCCGACCATGTGGACTCCTTAAGATAATTCTAGTGTCGGAGAATCAACGTTATCTTCTGCTTGATAGCACTCGTTGTCACAACAGTACTGACATTCGAGTAAGAACTGATATACCTCTAGAAGATAGAATAAAAAGGAAGTCGGCGCTAGCTGAACTAGGAACCCGTCGACAAAATATTCAAGAAAATCCTCGGTAGTGGGTTCTCGGATAGTCAGGCCTTGCAAGCGAATGCTACGAAGCTCTATGTGGATAGGTCGTTCTTCCTAGGAGATTCATATGCAAGTGTTCTTAGCCTAGGAAATAAATTCTATGAACTGGGAGCATTAGTGGACAAATTAGGGCCACTTATTGTGGCTGTGACAGAGACTTGTTTAGTCCACTACTTCTTCATTACTCCAGAATTATCAGGTTAACACTACCTAGGAAGGGATATAATGTATATGTGTAAAAGGAGATTTCGTCATTTTATACATAGCCAGTAATGTAAATATCCGCTCCTCCGCTTGCGTATCCCATGATAGTGGAACTTGTGAAGTCATTAGCTATGAACACAGGGTAGTCTGAGGTATACTAGAGTAAGATAATGGAAAAAAGTTGAGGTGTCTCAGTCTGTCTTCATAAGATAGGCAAGATGGACATTTTACCATTTTAATCCCTCGTCGTTGAACTCGTTCTAGCACATTTGCCTCATACTTGAAACAAGGACTCGGTACTTGAATCACATATTCCAAATGCGGTCTAACGAATGTCAAGTATAATAATTTAAATATTTCTTCATCCAAATACTGAAAAGACCTACGAATACCCATATCCTTTTGCAGCAGCAGCAGCAGCCTATCAGTTACTTGTGGTTTTGAGATCGCTGCTTATTATGACTCCTTAATTCTTATAGTCCATTACTTCATGTAACAAAAGTCAGTGGATTGTGCAGTGATACGAATCGTAACAGTTATTCAAGTGCAGCACCACACTTTTTAGAATCTACCTTATCAAAGGCTTCACTCTGATCTATGAAAAATACATCTACAGAAATATTCCGGTCTTTTGCCTCAGCCCGATATTCTCTCGCAATGAGAAGATTTATCAGGCATTATATACCTTTCCAAAAATGACGGAGAAAATTCGTAGCCCAGGTAGATTATTTTGGTGGGTTTTTTCCCTGAGCTGGGTGGTTTGGTCTTGCTGGA